TAAGAATATGAAGAGGCATTAATATTCTCATCATGACGAAGGCGTGTGGAGTTGAAAGAAGTTTTGCTGTTTTGTAAACTGGTTCCAATTTGCACCACATAAGCTATCGTATTTTCTGCTTATGGACTTGAGGTTCATTATAATGAGAATTAATATTAATGAACCTCTTCACGATTGTCGCTTTTGAGAAATCAGAGGATGGATACTTTAATGGATTAATTCAAGAACTTTCGAGTGATGCTCCTTTGCGATTTACTGACGAGGTAGACAGATTCTTTCTTGTTGAAGGCTTTCGAAAGGTTAATGTCATTTAAGAGTCAGTTTGGGAATTTATGGTCGATTTGGTGACTGATCAATTTCAAGATGATTTGTGGCTAAAATTGATAGAGTATTAATGCATTAAAGGGAGGTTAGAAACAAAGCAGGACTTGTTAAAGAATATTTGACGTTTCAGAGCCATTTGACACCTATTTTGATCCATTCTGACTTATCAATATGGAAATTGGTTCATATCCAAAACCAGGTCGAGATGCCAGATACAATGGGTTTGTTTTCAGTTTAGTGTTTCCATCCCTAGAAGCTTCTGTATCCTCATCATTACAATTATTGAAATCGTATCAACATTCAAGCATTTCGCAAAATATTTATTTCATCTTTGAACATGTCGTTCTGTTTCATATCCACAATAATCGGATTTATAGTAAAAACCAGGTAGCATAGAATGAAGAAAATACTGATGTTGATTCTGGTGGTCAGACACGTAGGTTACCCAAATTTGACTCGATTCCTCATAACGTTATCTAGAATGGTTCTCAAATTAAAATAGAAGTAGAATCAAGAATCAAACTTTCAGAGGGAGCGGACCTAAAACCTATTCCTAAGTATGCACTCCATTCTATTTATAAGTTCGTCCATATTACCCGACATAAATCTACATTCATACAAGCAACAGCACTTTCTGACTACTTAACATTCTCTCTTTCATGTCAATGACTGGAAATGAACACAATTCCATAAATTTGAACTTAAAAAATAATAATAAGGAAAAAGATGTTAATTACGATTATGTAAAATTTCATAATCCTCTTTGAGCTCGTTCAGTAAACACAGATCGCTAAAAAGTGAAAAATCTCCTGCTGTGTGCAGCAATACTACATGATAATGATAGCTCAGAAGAATCTTTACAGGCGAGAATAAAAATTAAAATTATTTCTTCAGTAAATGGATAAAAAATAGCAGAAAAAATTATGATGATTGGTATCGAGTTTCATTTGATGAGAAAATAAGGCGAATGTAATCATCCACTGCAAATTTACATGTCGAGATTTCAACATTAAATTTTGCAAAAAAAAAAATGTGGAGAGAAAATTTTTGGCCTTAATCATTTTGCTCACATGTGGGGTAAGGATTACATTGTGTTGAATGTATAACACAGCTGAAAGCACAAAAGGTATGAATGGTGCTGGATGACAAAGAGATTGACTTGAGCGCCTTTGAGCTGAGTAAAGTGCTGAATTGAGATTAATTAAGTACTGAATTGTGATGAATAAAGTGCTGAATTGAACTGAATAAAGTACTGAATTAAGCTGAATGAAATGCTGAATTGAGCTGAACAAAATTCTGAATTAAGCTGAACGAAGTGTTGAATTTACCTGAATACAGTGCTTCATTAAGCTAAATATCAAAGCAACAAGAATAAATGAATGTAAAACAAATAAATTCTCTAAAAGCTAGTCTCAAGAGAGATTTTTTTATGCCAATTAATATTCAAAAAACAATTGATAAGATCAGCTTACCATCGAATGAGATGGGACGCAAGTGAAACTCGAGACATTAACAAATGAAGGTGAGTGTTGATTGAATAAAATGACAAATAATAAATTTTTAAGCCAAAATGATTTGAATGAATTATAAATTGCTGCTAAAATCGATAATTAATTGATAATTAACAAATTTATATTCTTGGATATCTTATGCATGACTCTTTGGCTCAATTCTTATTTATTCTGATCTTAGGATTGCGATAATATTGTTTGATAAATGTCACGAAGATTTTTTGATGGCTTTAAAAAAGGGCTTATCAGTCATCAATCAGGAATATTTTAATTTTAAGAATTTTACAGATTTGCATTTTGATTTAATTTAATAAAAAAAACCTTTAAATGTCAATAATAATAATTTAAAATCGTAGATTTATGACGTATCAATGAGACGCGATTATTATCGTCGCGACTATATGTCTAATATGATATTCATATTTTCTGTACGCGCTCGCTTATATTTTTTTCTCATATATTTTTTGGATGATTTTTTTAAAGTGAGCTTTAAAACCAGCGTTTAAGATAAAATCTCCAACAAGTGTTGGAATATTAAAAAGAGGCAAAACTGGCATTTCCTCGAGAATTTAGATTGGCATCTGATTTTTTTTTTATTATTTCATATTATATTGTTTATTATGAATTCTGTGGTAAGATGAATGGAATAAAGTTCATTCAAATTAACGGTTAATAAAAATTCAAATGGATTTCTTGGAAAGCTTTTTTCTCGTTTTCTTGATTTCCACATTGGAAGAAATAAATTTAAAAATATATAAACCGTTAATTTTATTTTTGCATTGTCTTTCATATTGAAATACAAGCAGATGGGCAAATCCACGACACAAAAAATTTTTTTTAACAAAATTTTTCAATTTAAAGTAATTATTTCTCTCTTATGTCACATTATTCAAAAAGATTGAATGTTTTAATAAATGCAATGATGTGAATAGAAGAACACAAAAAAAATTTGCTTCTCTATAATCGTTAATTAAAGAAAAATTTGACTTTTTGTAAATCTTCCTGAGTCACATTTTAGCGGAAAACGTCGAAAAATTCAATTATCTCAAAAAATATAAGTTTTTAAGCGACATTGATCATCAAGATCTGTTCCTTTCATGTTGTAGCATTAGATAATTTAGCAAAATGTAGATGCTTAGTGGAAATTTGCTGATAAATTAATTAATTTCCTGAAAATTTTCTTCCTGAGTCACACAAAACGCTTTGCCACAGAAATATACTAGTTCAAATTTTTCATAACCGTTAAAATATTTGAATTACAAATTTCCGTTAAATTTTGTTGACATATTCGAGCTCAAATCTTATTCAATTTTCGATAATTAATTAAATTTTAATTAAATAGATGTTTCCGATGCCTTTTAATGACTTTTAAATAATATTAACTGTGCTTTAAATTAATTTTTAAGATTATTTTCAACAAAAAGATAAACAAATAATAACGGTTTTCTATTTTTCAAAAAAACTTTAAGTAAGTAGAGGAATAATTACAATGCGATTTTTGTAATTCCACAGCTTCGTGGATTTGCCCAGATATCTTTGAGACACTCTCCACCTTCCCAGGATTAGTTGCCGCAAGTGAACCCTTAAAAATGCTTAAATGATGTCTAAATAAACAGATTGTGGTAATTTAATTGAGCAATCAAGGAACTAATTTAATATATTGATATTTTAAAGTAATCGGTTTAGCAAAAGGAAGTAAATACATTTGCAAAAACTATAAAAAGTAACAATAATAGGATAATAAAACAAAACCACAAACAATTAATGTTTCAATATTTATTTATACACTTCCATTCATTGCTATTTACTAATTTAAAAGGATTTATTACCAATACTTAAATATAGAACGGACAATCGAACAATTGATCTCAATAGTTTTTCTATTTTTGTTTCGGATTATAGTAATTAGTCCTTGTCGTATCATATGACATTTTTCACAGAACATTAACAAGCTTGTTTTTCAAGGCAAACCAAAAAAGGAAATTATTGTGTAAAAAATCCATTCGAGTAGAAAATATTTCCTACAAAATTTCGTAACACTTAATGGACTGCTTAACTATTACGAATTCTATTGCATGCATCGTTGACCGATAGCAATGTTTTGGTAGGGAAAAGTTGTCATTTATTCTACTTAGCAATACGAAGAGTCAATATTAACGTATTCATCACTAAGATTATTATTACAGTACCGTTCAAAACTGTTTCCATGTTTCATGAAAATTTTTCTTTCCAACATATTTCTTATAAAACGTAATATTTTCCCAACATGTTATATATCGTTTTAAAGCTTGTTTAATAAGCTATTTAAAAACGATAAGCAACTTTACAAAATATTTAATTAAAGTAGATTTTTTGCTTAAAATATTAAGCGATTAAGGTTGTTTGAAGTGGAGGAAGTAATAAAAAATTTTGAATATTTGTGTAATGTAAATAATTTCATGAAACATGGAAACAGTTTTGAACGGTACTGTATTAGTATTATTGCTTTCACTCTTTACAAAGGAAACTTAGATTTTACTATCTTCACCACTTAAGGGCAATTCAGCACTTTTTTGCTGAATTCAGCAACAATTTTTACACAATTCAGTGCTCAATTCAGCAAATATTTGAAATAATTCAGCGTTTTCCAGCTAAATTAGGAAAAAATTTAAAGCTATTTATGCGGGTTAAAGTTTCAGTATGGTTTCAAACAATGCTACATCAAAAATTGTCAACAATAATAAGATTACAGACAATTATTTACAAAATCGTAAGATTCGTTCTTTTTCATAATGAACCTCATTCAAAGCACTTGAGTTTATCTTCAGAGGTTGTTTTTACACCACTCCTAACCTCATACCTATTAAATGAATGGCCCAGCACTTATCTCAACAATCTTTCCTTGCTTTAATTTTCAAGCAGTGACTTTCCTACTTCTAATCTCCCCCTTACCAATTCAATTTCCAATTCTTTTCTATCAATTCCCTCATTTACATGTTCCGCACTTTATCCTCTCTACTAAATGTTTACGTAAAATCGGAAAATAAAAGCGAGAGAGAGCTTTAATTCGATTATGAAGAAAAGTAAACTAAAATAATTATGTGAGTGTAGAAAAAAGAAGAAAAGAAGGAACAGAAAAAAACATATAGAGTCGACGATCAATCAATTTCCTCTTCAGTTGTGTCTGAAATTTTAAACGAAACAGACGAAAAAAAAAATAAAATTTTCGTCACATTTTTAAATAAAAACTTTTTAAACGAACTTAAACAAAAAAACACAAAACAATCAAAATGACTGAAAATGGAAAGACATTTGGAGCACCAAAGGATCAGGATGTCGAGGATCCAATTAAATACGGAAATGACGAGAAACCATCGAAAATTCTCCGTGCATTAACTGTTAGCGTTTATTTGTTTTCCGTGTCATTTGTGGCTATTCTCCTGTCGCTGTATTATATATTTTTATGGAGTAAGTGATGAGCCCAAAAATAATGAGTGTTGAGAAAATTGTGAAGAATTAGAATTGAAAGTTTTGAGTGATTTTGGTGGATTTTTGGATAATATTGAGTTTTGCTTCATTAAATTGTCGGGTTTGCTTTAACCAACTATGTTTTGCACTCTTAAGAGTACCTACAAGCTCAAACCCATTGATGTCTTAAAGAGACATCAACTCACATGCCTCAATCCCATCAAAAACTTTAAATTCTACTCAAAACATAAAAAAAAATAAATAAACAACCATAAAGTTATCCCATAATATAATCAATTCTCACTCCATCAACAGATCCAGACAGAGAAAACACAGCAAGACTGACTGATGATGCTGGCGAGTATTATGTATCAGAAGCTTATCACACAAACGAACGATTATAACAAGACTCAGCGAAAAAATGCGAAGGTAAACTAAAATAAATTTTTTGTTTGTTGACTCATAAAGCTTCTGTATGCAACGTTCTTTGTAATGTGATAATGGACATTCAATATAGAATTACTTGATACACACATCACATGTGGGTTTGGAGGGTAATGAAGTTATGTGTTTTAGGCCTTGAATTATGTGAAATTTTAGCAGTGATTAATTGTAGATTAAATATACTGAAAATAAGAAATTGAGAAAAATTATAAATGTGAAAAGGTTCGAATCCTAAAGCTTGAGATTTGTTTAAATTGTGATTTCAAATGAAGAATATTTGTTTTTAATAATAAATTAAAATTTTCCATTCATTTTTCGAGAATACTGTATTAGGCGTTCGTCATAAATAGTTTTTTTTTGCCAAATCTTTTGAGTCAGAGATGAAAAAGAAAAATCGCACAAAACACAAAAGAAAAGTATTTTTAATGTGAATAATAAAAATTTTAATTATTTCAAGTGTGAGGTGATGATGATTAATTGGGAAAAGAATGAATGAAAAAAATCACACGCGAGAAAAAAAACATTTTTTAAAGGTGAAATTTACGATCGAAATTAAAAATGACTTTTTTATTTCACTGACCTGCATTAAAGTAGAAATGTGTGAAGTTCACAAGATGTGCATCGGGATTTATCTGTTTACTTTAGTAAACAATATGAGCTTTTAGATTATTAATTGAATTATTAAGTATTGCAGCAAATTAAATATAAATTCAGAATGAAATGGAAGAAGTGATGATAGACTGATGATTTTATTAAGAGTGTCGGAAATCGATGTCCAGATCGATTAAATGTAATGGGAATTTTCAGTGTTTTTGAAATGTGAGAATCGATATTGAAGCTATGACCAGAGGGCGAAGTCGACTCGAAATTTGTATGAAGTCGAGTGAACTCAAGTCGACTTTTCCATACAAAATCCGAGTCGACTTCGCCCTCTGGCTATGACTCTTGTTGAATTTAAATGTGAATTTTGAGAATTATTCTTTTGATGATTCGTTAGAACTGATAGAATCAGGGACCAAAATGAATGAAAAATATCTGTGATGAAAAACATCATTATTTTTGATGATGAAATAAATTATAATTTTTTTCATTTACGTAAATTATTACGTAAAACTTCATCACGTAAGAATAATTTTTACGTAAGATTTTGTCACGTAAAGCAAAAAAATGCAATAAAATCACACCAAATGAATTAATAATGGTAAATAATAAGAACAAGAGATAGAATAGATTAGTTTTGCTTAAAAAACTTGTGTAGAAACATTTTATTCGTCATTTTTTTTTGCGTGATGAAATCCTACGTAAAAATGATTCTTACGCGATGAAATTTTACATAATAATTTGCGTAAATGAAAAAAATTATAATTTTTTTCATCATCAAAAATAATGATGTTTTTCATCACAGATTTTTTTCATTCATTTTGTTCCCTGGATAGAATAAGGCCATAGTAGAGTGGCAACAAGGTTTGGGAGGGCTCATTAAGGCTTTGATCAAGGATCACTAAAGATCAAGGTACTAATCCTTTTCTAATTAGTTAAGAGAATCAATAACTGTTTTTAATGCCTTGATTCCAAAATTTACATTCACTAATATTATTTAAAGACATCATAACCGAAAGACCCCCTTCTCATGATTGAGTGACACAAATTTTAACTCTCATAACTACTTGATATATTGTTTTAATGCCACAGACATTTTTCCACACATGTTGATTTTTCATAATTACTTTCCTTTAATGAGTTCATAAAAAAGAAGCTGACCGTTCCCATTAAAAAATTTCTTGTTTATTTACTAAATAAACATTTTGCAGAATTTTTTTTGATGAATGTTTTTATATTCATAAAGTTTTAAAGTAGGATGGGCTGTAAAATCTTTTTCTATATTTAATATTTGGTTCTATCAACTTGGTTTATAGCAATTCTCTTTGTTGTTTATTTAATCAGCCTAAATCGATTGCATAATCAAGTCTTACATCCCTTAAAATTCATTTTTCCCACGTGAAGCCTTTTTTTGCATTACATAAATTGTTACGTCAACTATGTCTATTTCTTAAACCCTTACGGAATTCATTCATAATTTAAATGAGAACAATCGATTTAAGCTGATTTGTAAGACAATACTTGTTTCATTTCTTTTAACAAGATTAAACTTAATTGTTAGAATATGAAAAATAAATCGTGCGGAAATTTATGTAATACGCGAGTATAACAAGCATGTCATAAGCTTTTGTGTTATGAACATTCTATTATGTAAGGGAATTATGAGATTTAGATTCAAAAATCTTCTGTAAATAGGTAATCTTTAGTTTACATGCTTTTGAGGTCTTTACAGCTTAAGAAATGATCATAAAGCATTCATTCTATGCCATTTATGATTAGATTCCACAAAAACAAGTCATAACAGCCCCCATAAACACAACATTCAACAGGTTCATCAATTATTAGTCTCAATTTCAACAAATTCTTCCAATCATCAACAGAAATCCATTTTCAAATCACACAAAACGATTTTCCACGCATCACGAGAAAAACGAGTAAAGATAAACAATTTCCAGCCTTCCAATTTTTCCAATCTACGAAGCGAAAAAGAAAATTTTATTTTCTCAATGTTTTCCAAAGCGGAGGAAAATTAACACAGAAAAACTAGAAAATAAAGCTTTTAAAAAATTAATTAAAGTGCAATTTAAATACTCGACCAGTGAATTTTAAAATACGATCAACAAGTTCTTAATTACACAATTACACAATAGCTTAAAGCCACAAAGTTCAATTGAATAAAGGAAAACTTTTTTACGACTCAGAAAAATCGATCAAACACAAGGAAAATTCTCCATGGCCCAATTTTAAAGTCTAAGCTTAGAAAAAAAAACTACAATTTACAGGACATCCAACATGAGTTACAAAATAAATTATACAGCAGAAGAGAAAATAAAGTTGGCAAAGGATGATTCAGTCGAGAAAATGTATGAATCTAAAAAGAACCAAAGGACAGTCCGTGTATTGACGGTTCTTGCTTACGTTCTTACAGTTTCTATGGCTGCAATTGTCTTGTCGACTTATTACGTGTTCTTTTGGAATCCGAAGCATATTAGTTTGATTGCTGCTCAATCGAAGGTTAACTGCGGTAGGAATGAATGATCTTATTTTGGGTTTTATTGTTCTTTTGAGGAAAATTTTTATTGGGAAGTTTTCAAAGTCTATGCCTGATGATCAAGCTATCCGAGAATAGCCTACTTGACTTAATGTAGTCTACCTTTTAAAGCTAGAAGGTTTAATTTCTGACCTAACCTCAATTGGATCTTAATAAGTGAATATAAATGATGAATGTTCAAGTCTAGTCATCACCCTTGGTTGTCTAAAGGTCGGCAACCTACAAGGCAACCTTGTCAGGCCCGAAAACAATCTGATCCATGTCTAGCAAATGAACAACTCTATAAGGTTCTTAACAAGTAAACAATTTTATAGAGTCCTTAATAAATGACCTCACAGATTAGAAGGGGTTTAGGTGCTACAAATTTCACAATCTTTTACTAATCACCTCCTTATCCTTCCTTCTATTTCTAGATAAAATAATCATCCCCGAACACATTGCAGTTAGGTTAATTAATAATACGGTTATATCATTGGACACATTCTACAATAATACAATGGTGCATTTACATCACATTCATTCCAATGCAAATAAGAATCATGCAAGAATGCGTGACAGAGTCGAATTTAATAGATATTTAGAGACAATGACATATGAGGAAGTGGCAACAACCATGTCAATGGATGCGAATAAGAAAATGCGTAGAAAAATGAAGCATTCGAAGAAAATTGTTGACGATGAAGATTTAAATGTGGATATGGAATCCAGTGGCGATAAGGATCAACTTATGGTCACGACTTTCCCACCACCGACATCGGAACCGTCAACTGACATGAATGACACAACGATTATATTTGATCAAGATACAGACGAGTAAGCTTGCAGCTTTACGAATTGTATACTCAATGAATTTCTATTAAATTTAATCTGTGGTTGGTGGATTTTGAGGATATAAAGTTGCTATTGGAATTTGATCCAGTAAATCAGTTCCAACAGCAACTTATATCCACCAAATCCACTCCTTAACTCATCAATTTATTCGGACTGTAAACAGCTTATTTCAAAAATGAGCACATAATGAATTAGGAAGCAGAATAAGTCCAATTAATCACGAACACAAAGCTTTAATTTCCAGTATTAACGTTGAATAATGAAAAAGGAATTTTTATTGCTCTAAAAATTTTATTTTTGTGAATCTTTACCTACTGACTTTAATGTAATTCGTAGATTTTAATTCGGTGTTTAATTTACATTGGTTGGGAAGGTTATGGAAATTTAAGAGCAGAATGAAGCTAGTGATGGCTTCTTTGAAGTTGAGAATTACTGTTTTGCTGCTTAAAATGTGAAAAATTCGAGTCTAACCTCACTTTTTAGGAGGTTTGAACGATTTAGGACAGAAATTTGATAGAATTCAGTGTTAATCCCCGAAAAGGACATTAAAGAAGGGTCAATCGAGTGTATGCTCCATGATAGCTGCAGAACAAGCTTGATATCATCAATTGATTGTCATTAAAAAGCATTGTAACTCAGATTTAACATTACAACCCCAAGATTACTTGCTAAACTCAATCCAACAGCAGGATAGCCACTCAAATTAGATAAAGTAACAGTAAATCCTCTTCGTTTCGCTCCTACCAACCCACCAATCCAATTACATAATAGTATTATAGTCAATCTCAAAGCTCAATTGATCAAAGGCACTTCTTTTGTATGAAAAATGATGAATATTAATGATCAATACATGATAATTGAATTAGAACATTCCACAAATCCCTCAACAGGTTGGCAATAATGGAATTGATTTTCTGTAATGTTTTACAGCATAGACCAAGCGTTATGTAAGTCAAGAAATGGGATTGAATTGCATGTAAAGGTATTAGTAATTTAATAATGAAAAGTCGCAATGATTATGGAAGAAGCTCCAAATAAGCTTTGAGCATTGACACAAATATAAATTTATGGATGAAAGAAACTCAAAATTATTTTAAATTAACGAAACTTATCTAAAAATTCTCACAATTGAATCTAAATCCAATTAAACGATCAACTTTTGAATGTTGAAATAAAGATTTTATGTAACAAAAAGCAAAATTTTTGTTTTATTTCTGAAAGTAAAGCTTCACCAACCTTAAAATCCTGCAAATCATCTAAAACAACTTCATCTTCAGAACATCTTCAATATATTCATCCAATAAAAATCTCAACAACATCAACAAATCTACTCATTATTCATAAACATGTGTGTATTCTTCTTCGATGCCAACATTTTGCTCACATTATCATGTCCAACAATCGAGGATAACTGAAGGATGTCATACTTAGTATACAGCACAGTCACAGTCATTGAATTCCTCATAACATCGTCATTTGGATTCTGGTTGATTTCCTGCATCAAATTAATCATTTCTGGATAAAAGTCAGACCATGCTGGTGGTTGATACATGATGATGTGTCTAATTCCTTTAATTCTCATCCGTCTGAAGAAATGTGCACGTTCTGAATACAAAAGGAAGTGAGCACCGCCATGATAGAATAATGTTCGTGCTCGCGATATTTTATTATCTTTTGTGTACTCGCAAAGTTGTGTATAATTCACTTCCTCCTTTTTCAGGTAGTTCCTTATGCGTACATAGTCAAAATAGCTCGGCACGTAAATCATGCAATGAGCCATAGTCGCTGACTTAAATTGAGGTAAAATTTGATTCGTGAAATACTCAAATCTAGTGTCAAATGAAGTTTCAAGTGACTTAACTTCAATTCTATGAAAAACTTGTGGCAGTTCCATAATGACATGACGAATTGTTCCATTCAGGACTGGATTTGCTGTCCGTACTTTTCCATGATAATTCCTACATCGATTGTTGAATAATGATCGAAATTCTGGCAAGTCGTAGGACGAGAACAGTAATGTCTGTCGATAAAACTTTGACCATCCATTAAGGCACCAAGATCGGACTCTTGAAAAGTCTGTATTCTGTCTAGATTGTGGCTGTAGATGTAAATGATCAAATAAATACAACAAGTGATCCCAATTTTGTGCTAGAAACAGTTCCATTTGATCCAGTATTAAAAGCTCAATTGATGCCAAAAAGTCAAATTCACGATCCTTCTCGCCTGGAGCTCCAATGATGAGTCGTAAACCTAAAGGACTTGCAATGAGGATATCCGATGCATAAAATGGCGAATAAAGCTTCATTGACTTTTTGGTCAGCGATATTCCAATTCTGAATGTATCTTCAGTATTTCCAGCAAATGTCAATTCATAATCTTCAGGTTTCGGGTTCCTTTTTGGGAAATGCAGCGTCTGTCCAGTAAATTCATCCTCAAATCTTTTGTAATTTAAAATTCCAGCCTTTTCTTTTGGATTAAGTAAGTCAATGAGCATGTTGATGACTTTATATGCTGAATCACGGAATGGTAAGACAATAAGAACTTTTGGACGTACAAATCCTTGATCCCTAAACTCGTCAGGAATTATTGTTGCCTTCTTTTCGGATCTCAGCTTTGACAATTTCGCGTTGTGCTGCAAAACTTTCTGTCTGGTCTTTAAGACGTGATTTAATGCATGAATGCAGTATGACAAACGGACTTCCTCACCATTCTTATGTGATCTGTGTGGATAATATAAATCCTGATAGTTTGCAGCCACAGATATTAATTCCGTTTGTAGCGGTGACAAAATTGATTTGGAATTGCCGTATTTTTCAAGATTTTCACTATTAACGCCAAAAATATTCACCACAAGTTGCTGCTTTATGCTTGCTTCTGTCACCAAATTGTCAGGGTTACAAATTTTCGGCACTTTTCCTTCACATGCAAGCACTTCCTCATCATCCAGTAAAGTTTGTTTCCTCTTTTTTGCAGCTGGTTCTGAAGTTTCTTTTGGAATTTCAATCATGACATTTCCTAGTGTTGGCCATGGATGATTAGTCACTTCCGTTTTAGGTGGATTTGTGGATATAGCTTCGAGTAGTTTTGGACTTAAATCAAAACTGAAATGATTAATAAATGGAGCATTTTCTGATGACTTTTTCGACTTAATTTCGTCATCGTCGTCTACATCTGAGTCTAGTTCCTCTTCAGAATCGCTGTTGACTTCACGGTCTAGGTCGTTGGCTATTGAATCATCCAAAAATTTTGTATTTATAGTTTTATCTGGATCAATATCTTCGATTGACTTTTCGTCATCATCTGTGCCTATTTCTGATCCAATTTCTAGTTCCTCCTCATTTACTTCTTCATCTAACACTTCCATTTCGTCACTTTCAGGTTCTAAAACCTTTGATTCCGATTCTTTCTCATCATTTTCACTTTCTGGATCTTCAATATCACTAACTGGATCTTGTTCTTCTTCACTTTCTGATGATTCTGTAGACTCTGCTGCATCCAACTTCTTCGCTTTACCTAAAGTTGTCAGTAATTCCTGGAAATGATTTACTTCTGTCTCACTTTCACTTCCACTTGACTCATTTTGTGCTTCTATCTGCTTTTGACGATATTTTAGCTCCACTGGAAGTTTATTAAATTGTAAATTAATTATTCTTATTCATGCCTGGATGTTCAATACTTACTTAGCTGCTGTCTCTTAAGATTCTCTTCTGATTCCTTATTTTTCTCAATTTGCTTTTTGACCATCATATATCTATTAGGCTTTTTGTTGTAATTCTTCTTGAAATTCTTGCGGTTGTTGAAGTTTTTCTTAGGATTTCCTCTGGATTTACCTCCTTTCGCCATGGCTGGAATTAATTGAATTAATTTTGAGTTTTCAACGTGCGAATGTTTTTATTGTAAATTTTGACTTACTTAATTATTTTATACTAATTTTCTTAATCTTGAAATGTTCCTTTTTGTGAGTTCTTTCAGTTTCTGTTAATTACACAATTTGTCGCTGCATAGAATCGCCTAAAACTCAACAATTTTTTGAGCTCTTAAAAATTGTGTTTATGTTTCCCGAACAGAAATTCAAATTTGAAACGACCGTTATGATTATTGCAGAATTTTAAATAAATATTGACGGTTGAGGGGTTTGAAAATTATTTATCCGTTAGATGATTTAAGAGTAGATGAATTTAATTAAATTTATAGAGTCGAATAAGAGTGTTTGGCTTTAAAAACGACAGTAATAATGAAACAATTTTGAAAAAAACATAGTGAACATTGAAAGATTAATACAATTTCATTTAAAGATGTGAATTTAATAGACCAAAAAGTGGATTTTTATCGAAAAATGTCACAAAAGCATCTGCTCAGTGCAGCAATGTAGCAGAAATTCAATCTAGAAAACCAACAATGATTGAGTCTTTCCAAATTCAAACTCAATAATCAAGAATCAACTTACTTGTGAGTATTTTAATACAAAATGTTATTTAATTTGTGTACGTCTTTTAAAAGAGAGCCTTTGACGAATTGCAGACATAGCACTGCTTCTTCTGCTTCTCCTATTAGGCTTTCCCATTCGTGCAATTGTCTTTTCTAGCTGTTCAGTCTTTCTTTCTCTTGACAATCGAATTCTTTCTCGTCTATTCAAAATACTGACTCGGATTCGACGAGATGTTCTTGCTAGGAACTTGCTGATGTGTCGAAGCATCACTAAGACAAAGTTTTAATAGAACTTTTTGACTCGAGATTTTGAAATTTGAAAATGAGCTTTTTTTGAAAAAGAGAAAATATGAAAGGAAATTTCAAAGGTTGCTAAGAATTTAGATGAGATTTTTTGAAGAATGAGGTTAGGTTTAGGTTGGGATAGGGTATGAATTGGGATTAGATTGTAGGGTGCAATTGGATCGGGGTTTTGTCTGGGGATTTGTCTCAAGAAGCTAGGATAGGTATCAATCAAAAGCTTATAAAGAAGGAAGTTAAAATTATAGAAGGAGAGGGAGGGGGGTTTAGGATTCAATTCAATGAACAGGATTTGATATTAACAACCAAAAGTCCGTTAACAGCATGTCAAGCATGTCATCAAACTTTTATACGAATTTTTAAATTTCCACGGAAAATTCCTTCCTCTCTCATGGAATTTTCCATAAATTCCAATTCTCCTCAAAGGATGCTGCATGTTTCATATTTGGACCATTGGAATTCCTTCTCATCTCATCTCTCCATCACTGATAAAGTAAGAATCAGTCTGTAAAATAGTCTCAATGTGTTCGGATGGATTTTCGCCACAAATGGATCGAAACTTACTTGAACTAGTTCAGTGTTTTTGAATTTTTTATGAGCGAAAAGAAAAAAAAAATCAGATTTGTGAAAACTTAAAAAAAATTATTGAAATTAAAAATTCAAAATTATTAAAAATTAATTGTTTTGTGAAATCGAAATAAAAGTTTCGGAAGTTAAAGGCACACAACCTTGAAGTGAACGCAAACAAATGTTTATGTCAATAATAAAAAATTTAATTAAGAAAGATGAAATGAATTAAAATAAAAAAGAAAAAGGAAGCGATGAAAATTAAGCTGGATTAAATAGACATGAAATTGCATTAACATAAATATAAATGAGCAAGGAAAGAAAAATTTTCCCATTCAGAGAATAAAGCAGAAGCAAAATAAAAGAGAGCGAGCTACGCCAACATATAAAGATAACATAATTATGGAAAATTTTAATATCAAAGGAATTTTATCGTTTAAAACATGCTGTGTGATGTGCATTTTAATTTCATGTAAGTTCATGACATCAAAGAGAACGGCAGTAGTGAAGGCATTGAGGGGATGTATTCAAAAATTATGGCGCATTTTTAATGGCTTGAAATTTTATTTTTGAAAGAATAAAGAAATTCAAAAAATTGAAACTTTTTAAGGGCTCGAAACCAAGCTTCAAATGGAAAACAAATGGAATTCTGAAGATTTTTGTATGAAATCTTATACTTCACAAGAGAATTTTTCTAGCTTTTGAAGATTTTTGTATGAAATCTTATAGTTCACAAGAGAATAATTCTAGCTTTTGAAGATTTTTGTATGAAATCTTATAGTTCACAAGAGAATGATTCTAGCTTTTGAAGATTTTTGTGTGAAATCTTATACTTCACAAGAGAATGATTTAAAGATTTTAAAGATTTTTGTGTGAAATCTTATACTTCACAAGAGAATTTTTCTAGCTTTTGAAAACTTTTGTATGAAATCTTATACTTCACAAGAGAATGATTCTAGCTTTTAAAGATTTTTGTATGAAATCTTATACTTCACAAGAGAATGATTCTAGCTTTTAAAGATTTTTGTGTGAAATCTTATACTTCACAAGAGAATGATTTTAGCTTTTTAAGATTTTTGTATGAAATCTTATACTTCACAAGAGAATGATTATAGTTTTTAAAGATTATTGTATGAAATCTTATACTTCACAAGAGAATGATTCTAGCTTTTGAAGATTTTTGTATGAAATCTTATACTTCACAAGAGAATGATTCTAGCTTTTAAAGATTTTTGTATGAAATTTTACACTTCACAAGAGAATAATTCTAGCTTTTGAAGATTTTTGTATGAAATCTTATAGTTCACAAGAGAATGATTCTAGCTTTTGAAGATTTTTGTATGAAATCTTATAGTTCACAAGGGAATGATTCTAGCTTTTGAAGATTTTTGTGTGAAATCTTATACTTCACAAGAGAATGATTCTAGCTTTTGAAGATTTTTGTATGAAATCTTATACTTTACAAGAGAATGATTCTAGCTTTTGAAGATTTTTGTATGAAATCTTATACTTCACAAGAGAATGATTCTACCTTTTAAAGATTTTCGTGTGAAATCTTATACTCCACAAGAGAATGATTCTAGCTTTTGAAGATTTTTGTATGAAATCTTATACTTCACAAGAGAATGATTCTAGCTTTTAAAGATTTTTGTATGAAATCTTATAGTTCACAAGAGATTGATTCTAGCTTTTGAAGATTTTTGTGTGAAATCTTATACTTCACAAGAGAATAATTCTAGCTTTTGAAGATTTTTGTATGAAATCTTATACTTCACAAGAGAATGATTCTAGCTTTTGAAGATTTTTGTATGAAATCTTATACTTTACAAGAGAATGATTCTAGCTTTTAAAGATTTTTGTATAAAATCTTATAGTTCACAAGAGAATTATTCTAGCTTTTGAAGATTTTTGTGTGAAATCTTATACTTCACAAGAGAATGATTCTAGCTTTTAAAGATTTTTGTATGAAATTTTACACCTCACAAGAGAATAATTCTAGCTTTTGAAGATTTTTGTATGAAATCTTATAGTTCACAAGAGAATGATTCTAGCTTTTGAAGATTTTTGTATAAAATCTTATAGTTCACAAGGGAATGATTCTAGCTTTTGAAGATTTTTGTGTGAAATCTTATACTTCACAAGAGAATGATTCTAGCTTTTGAAGATTTTTGTATGAAATCTTATAGTTCACAAGAAAATGATTCTAGCGTTTGAAGATTTTTGTATGAAATCTTATACTTTACAAGAGAATGATTCTAGCTTTTGAAGATTTTTGTATGAAATCTTATACTTCACAAGAGAATGATTCTAGCTTTTAAAGATTTTCGTGTGAAATCTTATACTCCACAAGAGAATGATTCTAGCTTTTGAAGATTTTTGTATGAAATCTTATACTTCACAAGAGAATGATTCTAGCTTTTAAAGATTTTTGTATGAAATCTTATAGTTCACAAGAGATTGATTCTAGCTTTTGAAGATTTTTGTATGAAATCTTATAGTTCACAAGAGAATAATTCTAGCTTTTGAAGATTTTTGTATGAAATCTTATACTTCACAAGAGAATGATTCTAGCTTTTGAAGATTTTTGTATGAAATCTTATACTTCACAAGAGAATGGTTCTAAAATTATTAAAGCTCAATACAGATGCATGGTTTTCAAAAGCAAAGGGTCAAATGCCGTAAGTAGTCTTTAATGGACTAAACAGGACATCTGCAGTTTATACCCATGTTTTGTTGGTTAGGTTTCATTGATATTTTGCCAATCTATATAGCTTTATTAGCTATGAATTGCAAATAAACTTTGCTTCAGACTACTGAATATAGGTGCATCACTATAACTGAAGGTTTAAGGCTTTACATTAGGTTTAGTATTGAAAGTTTAAAAACTGCTGCCTTTAAACCTTCCATCATTAGCTTTAAATTGACATTGACCCATAGTCATCAAAAAATTCCTCAAAACATAATCCTCAATTCCAGCCAACCAGCCAGACAGACAGACATTATTTCCCATCTCCAAAAACTGCGCTAAAACATTCTTTTTATTGCTTTTGGCACATTATGGTTGCCTTTTTTCAACATTTTTCCTTCACTGTCTCTCTGTGCATTCATTCGAATATGAAACGAATTATGTTTTTTATATACGAGACACACGAAGGGCCCTCAATGCACTGCTTCTACTGCATCATAACCATAAGATTCTCTCAGCTTCTGCTGGAGAACAGCATTTAATGAATAAAAAAAAGAAAAAGTTTTTCTCTGGAGTTTGGGTGGGAGACATACAGCACTTGACACACAATTAATGAGATTCTCTTTCTGAAATTTTTATGTATACATGTGTACATACATATTTCATTAAATGAAAGAGCAAGCAGAAAGTAAACAGCACACAGAATAATGTTGTGCTTCTCCTCGAGTGCCGTTTATTCACGTGTGTTGTGGCTGTTCTTCTTCAATGAATTCTGTTCTTTGTTGTTTAAATTGTAATTGGATGCTGAATTTTTTTGTGAGAAATAAAATATTTTGAAAGGTTCGCGGATGAGATAAAGTTATTTTTGGTATTGTATTGAATTGTTATTTTAGAAATACATACTTAATCTTGGGATATTATTTACGTCAACATTAACGTAAATTTATTGGATTTAATAGAATCCAGCATTTAAGGTTATCTTAATTTTTGTTTTGGGCCGGTTAAAGGTTTCATAATCCATAATCTTATCCTAAAATATAAGTTAATATCAATTTGAATACTCAGAAATACAAATATTCAAATCCACGAAATTGAAGCATGAATCTTGATTGATTAGATGTAGAAACTTTAGGAATCAAAATAAGGAAGGTTTGAAAATGTTCACAATTTGTTACTTAAGGTAGCTCATTTCTTTTGCAATAAGCATTCAATCGATTTCAAGATTCATCCTATTAAAAGAACTTCATTAAGTGATATTGTATCTTAATGGTTAGCAACAAAACGGATTTTTGTAACCTTTTATTTATCAAAGAACGTAGGCTTGATTCCCACTCAAGAATAATCTTTGAAGCATTATAATGTGTGTTGGCGATAAAACAAAAGGATTTGCACACATTGTTTATGAAATGAGCATTTTAAATGGCACAATTTCGGTAATTGATGATTTGTCACTAAGCTTTTGTATTTCATAAAGTTAAGGCTAGAAAGGAAAGCTTTTAAATTTAACTGACGTCATTTGCGAACGATCAGAGTTGTGAGGTGCTTTGTTTATGTTCAGGTATCATCTTAGCACAGTCATGTCTAGCGAAGGAAAAAAGGATAAGCTTGTCAAAGACACTGCCTAGAAGGAAGTTAAACTTTTTGCATCTTTAAAAGACTTCTAAGCTTCCTAAAGCCCTTTCCCAAAAAAGAAAATCACCAAACTCATTGTTCATACAAATTTACATTATTCAGAAAGAGTTAGATCCAACGATGCACACACAAAACATGTTTAAGGAAGGACTTTCCAGCTCTTGCTCCATTTCCTTTTTCCTATATTTTATTTCATTTTCTCTTCCTCACTATTCATTAATATTATTTTAGTCCTTCTTCTTTTCAATTCTTTTCGACATTTTTGTGTGCAAAGAGAGAGAAGTCAATTGGAGTGATTTGAATGTTACGTCGAATAATTAGGAGCTCTTCCATTTTCGTTCACTAGCTTTGTTCAAATATTAGCTGATTTATAGATATTTTGCTCCTGCTTCCTTTGTATTTCATCATTGATTCCTACTTTAACTGATTCCTGAGTTATGTCTTTCGATTGAGTTAAGGGAAGTTAGGGATTGAGTTTTTTGTCAAGAAACCATTGCTAAGATCTGAACTGTTGCAACAACTTCAAGTCCTATGATCTGGGTAGTATCTGGGAAGACCAAGACTTAGTAAATCATAGAATTCATTAACACTTAGTGTGTTCCTTTAGAAACTTACAATATTATGCCAAAAAATAATAAGATGCATCAATAATGTCTAAGATTCAAAGAACAAGATAGTAATTTCCAGTGGACACCATTTATGAAACAACCCCAAAGAAGAGTAGAAAAGTGAGAAAAAAAAAATTAAATGAGAAATAAAAGACTGCGGAGTTTTCTATGTAAAAAGAAATAGGAAGAGAAAATAAGTGGAACATGGGAAAATTTATGTAGATGAGCAGTGTATGCAAGAAAAGCTTTCGATTTCAGTATGCAAATTATTCAAAGTCTTTTCTCCTATTCTTGCCGATGCCGGAAAAATCGTATACTTTTTGGATGAGAGAAAAATTTCCGCTCTAAAGACTTCTCTCACAATGTTTATACTACATATTATTATGCTTTCTGTCTCTATGGGTAGGAAAAAAAAAGAAATGGAAATAGCAAAAAGGAAATGTCCTCAAGCTATTTAAAGTAAATATTGAAGGAAGTAATTTTTAAAGTGGAGTCTTCTTCCCATTCTTTACCCGTTAACGACTCAAGATACAATAAAATGAATTGTTATTTATTTTTGTGTACAAATTTTTGGGGAACCGATTTTACTTGGGGCAATTGGCTTGTTTTTGATTTGATATTTTAAAGATATGACTTTGATGTGACTTTAATATTGAAGGGATAATTGAGAAAACAGTATTGAAGGATTATTTGGAGATTTTGTGTTAATTTTAATTAATTTTGAAACTAAATAAACAAAAAGTTGAATCTTACAAAAATAATGAAAACAAAAGTAATTCTTAGCACAGAAAATGTTTTAAACCCATATCTTTCAGTTTTAGTGAATTAAGATTCTGATTAAAATATTAGAAACGAAATTGAATTGAATAAATTCTTGAAAATTCCTTGAAATTTAACAATAACTTGATATTTCGATAAGAACTGAACAAAAAAATGAAGGCAATTATTGCATTATCAGCTTAATATGAGCATACCGTCCAATATGGAATTAAAGGAACTAGCGGAACTGAGCCACTTTTGGAAAAGCCATAAAACGTTGTAATATGGAATTTTTTTCCCCATTGATTCATTATTTTGAATTTGTAGTTTTGTTTGGATTAAATACATTTATAACAGCTATAAAAATTGGTAAAGATAAATTTTTTTTCTAAAATACAGCTAGGATTTGAACCTGAACGTAATCTTAAAAGTCTGAATAATATCAGGTCTAAACACATTCATTTCAATTTGATTTGCTAGAATTATTGCAATTTGTCAATTTTCCCCGAATCACAATCAAATTTTTAAATAGAATCGAATGTTTAATTACAAATTCATATTTTTCCATAATTAAAATTCCTCTTAAATTATCTTAATTTATGATTCTTTAGAAAGCACTTAACTATGTTCTTCAACCACTGAATTCGAAATAATTTTTATCACAAAAATAAAACAGCAAATTTCATTAAAATATTTACAAAATAACAAGTTAAATTCGCAGAAATATTTTAATTTATTCCACAAACAAAACAATCGTTCTGTAATAAATGGGAATTAAAATTTACTCCAGCGCCACCCAAACTCCTCATACTCCAAAAAAAATTATTATTATTCAATGAATCTCTAATTTTCCATTCCACAAACCACATAAAATATTTCTAGTTCTACCAAATACGAGAACTCTTCATATAACCAACATCATCGTGCCGCCATTTGTCGACGTGCGAGATGTGGTAACGCTTTCATGTAGTTACAACATAGGAACGCAAAAGCTCAATTCAGTGAAATGGTACAAGAACGATAAAGAATTTTACAGGTGAGAGAAGGATGTGTTTTGCATATTTTTTTACTTTAGTATGGCTGATGATGATATAGCTACACTCTGCTCATGGTTTTTACAACTTTGCTTTTTGTTATCAGTTGACAGCAAATATGCATATTGCATGCATATTTCAAAGTGACTAAAAAAAATCGTACATTGCAGTGAGACAAATTGCAGACGGATTTATGTTATTATAGCAACCGGTCATCAGAATATTTCTGAAATGTATACACATACTTTTTGTGTTGGATGTTGGTATAATTTACATAAAATCCATTATGCAAATGTAAAATTGCATTCGAAATAGACAAAAAGGCAAATATTATTATTATTTTTGGAAAAGTTGAGGTTATTGTGTAATTATTTTTAATTAGTGTAGGTTAGGCGCATTTTTGTTGGATTAACAGAATTCCACGGCTATAGCTAGTCTTTGCTAGTCTGGAACTTAAAAGATATAGTTGAAAACTAGCTTTAAAAATGAAAAGAATTATTGCAAGTTTCACGACACTTTTTTGCGAAAGTATCGACTTGATCAGTCTAGATGATGTCTAGGAATTACTAAATGAAAGAACCATAAAGTTCAACAAGGTTTTTTGCTTGTTCCATGCAAATATCACAAAATGTTGAAAGAAAGAAATTCATCCAATTGTTCATCCAATGCGAGAATCGAATCTCGCACCTCTCGATTGCCAGTCAAGTGCTCAGACCACTTAGCTATTGAGTTTTACAATTGGAAGTGGCCATTTGCCAATATATGTGGACCACCTTAGTCTAGGAACTAGTTTGTTCAGTGTTTCTCAATTTTTTGTCGCGGCACACCTGGAGTTTTGTCACGGTACACTAGTGTGCCGCGACACACAGTTTGAGAACTACCGAGCTAGTTGATGAGAACTGATCTTTCAAAAACATAGAGTAGCCTAAGAATCAGAGATTTTACTAGATATTTATATCTGCAGCCCTTAAAGCAAAGTAGAACCAGTCAGAGCTCAACTTTGAGCCAACCTTATTTCTCTCTATACTTTCAAGCTAAAGAACTTGTTAAGATTAAGTTGAAAGCTAGTATACTTAACCTCAAACTATGTTGACTCAATAAAAGATAAGTTAAACACTCTTAAGTTATCTTCCAGCTAGTTATAAACTTCAACCTACATATTAAATAATCAAGCTACATGCCAAAGCAATCACAATAAATCCACCTGCCTGGCAAAAATGCGCTAGCAAAACATTAAATTTTAATTCATTCACAAAGTGCAATATCAATTGCAATAGAACATAATAGGAGCATTTCTAGTCTCACTGTATTGTATGCCTTTTTATTCATGAATTAATTTCTACAATGCATCCTTTTTTATTATTTATTCCTCCTTCCTATTTTATCATCTCAACAATCAACTCAACGAAATAAAAAATGAACATGAACAAAAAAAAATAATAAATTTATACATGTGAAAAACAAACTTAATGGCATCCTATTGTATTTGTGCCTTCTTTTTTCTTGTGATACGATGACAACTCATGAATGTGCAAAATAAAATTCAGATATGCACCGCTGATGCCAACAAAGCAGAATATGATATTTAATTTGGAAGGTGTGCACATTACTACAGATCATGTCTGTAATGAGAAATTTTGTACAATACATCTTGATAATTTAAATAATGAGTCGACTGGTGCCTATCGATGTGAAGTTAGTGGAGATGCTCCAGAATTTCAGCTGTCGCATGAAACGAGCAATATGACTGTTGCGGGTGAGTTTTGAATTGTAGTATTTTATGCTGTGGGATTGGGAGAATTTTAAGGAAGCACTGTTTTATACATCGGACAGTAAACTGCTCTCACAAACAGATCAGATTTCAACTAGAATCATTTGTAAATTCTCCTCAGGAGCTGATTTTAAGGTATACTTTTAAAAACATCAACAATTTCAACAAAATTATGAGAACAGAAGCTTACAAAGAGCTTGCAACGATGAAAAATTGTGTATTCATTATTTGATGTTATTAGCATTGTTATCAGTTGAAACACTCATGCATAAAGTGTATGTAAAACATTGTTGTATATCCATTATCAACAAACTCTCATCATGCAGTGGTCGAGCGATTATCACAGTTATTCAATGTAGGCGGCTTCTATTTTTATCCGTGATACATTTCCGCACCAAAATTTAATCATTCATGCAAGAATTATTTCAGACAATTGTGTTGGTGATGATTGGAAGTGCGGGATTGTAGTAAAGGGAGCTGAAATTGTTGTCTTGGTTCTGGAGTGTTTTCAACCAGGGTTGCAATGCAGGCACCTGTGCAAAGGTGAAAACCGTACAATTGCTTGATAATTTGTAAGGTTTTATTAGAATTTGTATAGTTTTATTAGAAAACCAGAGCTGCGAAACAGGCACCTGTGACAGGTGAGAACCCTACAATTCCTTGATAATTTATAAGGTTTTTCTAACAGAACCATACAAATTATCAAGGAATTGAAAGGTTCTCACCTGTCACAGGTGACCTGTTTCGCAACTCTGTAGAAAACCTTATAAATTATCAAGGAATTGTACGGTTCACACCCGTGCACAGGTGCCTGTATCGCAACACTGTTTTCAACTAATTCTTACGCTTTTGCGATTAATCAGAAGCTTGGAAGCTAATGAGATTCATATTGTCTAGAGTTGGCTCGTCTACATATCCAAAACTGTACCTTAGTAGACTTTACACTAGTAAAAGTAAAATCCTTCTAAGAAACCAATTCCACTGATATAAGCCACACTCAAGACCCCCTGACTACACCCCTGCATCAACATAACTAAAGATTCAATGAAAAAATCATGAACTCTGATGGAAGTATGCAATTAAATTCAAGCCATGACAATACGAACAACAAGAACAAAAGAAAATCTCGGAAAATTATTCAAACTGTGAGCGATAAAATTGCAAGTGCACATTTTCAATCACAGCTCGAGATTCAACCATTTTCTTCCATTCACATCGAGTTTTGCCTTAAATACTTCAATTACGACTTTCTCACATAGAAGCGGACAATTTTTTTTTCCAGTCGTGCTGGAGAAATAAAAGACAAAACATAATCCATGAAATTCATCTCTTCCATAATACAAGCACCAAGCATTGTTTTCGCTTTAACAAGAGTGGAGATGCTGTTCAAAAAACCACTTTGGTTTAGTAATTGCCATCCAGACATCATCATCATCATCATCATCATTAAACATTTCCTCACATTCTCGTTTTTAACTGAAAAGCACTTTTAATTGGGTTTTAAGTCTCTGTACAAGCCACAGTGTACGGTACTCTTATAATGCCAATTGTGAAAGGAAAAAAATGTAAATTAACAGTTCTTAAGTTTTTTTCATACTTTCTATTTAATTTAGGGGTTTAGTCGAGTGGCTTTTTGAGAGTTGAGGAGTTCTTTTAATTCAGAATAAATAATTTAAAACAATTAAAAGTGATTGTGAGTGAATATGTAACAGATGGAATTATTTTTTATTTTGGAACTTGTTGGTGGATATGGGCAATGGGATACAAAGTTTTATTGATAAACTGCAAGAATCTCATCCTGTCATAACCGATGATTAATTAAATTAAATAACTTTAGATTTCTGACAATCTTGTCAATATCTTGAACTGATCTAACATTGTTCGTTGGTTTGAACTTCATCTTCCATCTTTGACCATTTCTACACATTATCATTTCTACAAATGAACCTACTTTTTTTTTCATTTTAATTGCACTTTATTGCATTTATTGACGACATACTGTCCGGTAATAATTCACATTTTACACTTTTGTATTTATATACATATGAATTAATATTATGTAGGATCAAACTTCTAATCTTCAAATCTAGGATTCAAATAAACTAAGGCTCTCGTTTCGATCTTCTGTGGGCGTGACGTGATGCTTATCAGGTCCGTTCTAACAACATTCCATTCGTTGGTAATCTTGTAGCTCTCGTTCCTATTTCTCATGCTACACTTCAAGTTCCTGACCCGTTCCTTAATCCAACGTTGTCCAAATGCCAAATTAAAGATCTCCTACATTAAGCAGTCGAAGTATCTGAACTTCCGAAAAAGAAAAAATTTGGAAATGGCTGGATTCGAACCGACGACCTTCGAGTTACCATCCCAAATTTGAGCCAAGCGCCTTACCTATTCGACCAGCAAGGTCTTAAGTGCTTTGATGATTAGAACTGCCAGAAATCCTTCTGAGTTCTCCGAATATCATATGATCCTATGTTAAGAGATATTTCATATTGAATAAGACTAAGTTTCTTAAAAATCCTTAAACTAGTTTTCTATATCACCAGAAATATTGCATTATTTTGCAAAATACTCCCAATACTAAAACCAATCTACTCTTTAAACATAAAATTGCAAGCTTTTCTTCCAAAACTTTTAAATTTTACTCCTGACAGCTTCCAAGTCGCTATAAACATTACATAAAACAAGAGTATTTTCCTCGACAAGCCTTAATTGTTCAAATAATTTGAAGAGAAATGTAAAACCAGAAACAGAACAAATATTGCATAATTAACAAACATTTCTGTTGCCATCTCATAAAGGATTATTACCAAGAGCTGTTGCTTGCTGTTTATTTTCATTGTAATTATTTTGGTCGATTACTCTGTTAAATTAAGTTGTGAATTTTTAGCGACAGTTTGAGGCACTCAATCATGTTGTTTATGATTTTAAGGATTACAGATTTTGAGTAATGGATGCAGCTTTTGACAAAAAGATTTGTTCGTGTGCCTCCGGCTGCTGCTTTTAGAAGTGATTGTTTATGTTGTTTCAGAGACAATTTAAGTGATAAAAATTAGTTGAGATTCTCAATTAATAGATTAAGTTCAGTTATGGTTCATTTCTAAGATAAGGTTGTAGCACGAAATGTTTGAGCGATGAAATAAATGCCGAACTAATATTTTTTAAGATCCTGGATGTTGTGGTTAGGTCCACTGGATCTTTTTAACAATAATTTATTCACTTAATTTGATGTTTATGTGGGTTTTAATATATTTTAAACGCCATTGAATGTGAATTAAACGCCACATATATATATATATATATATATATATATTTTTTAATAGGCTCTAAGGGATGGTAAATTACACCTTAGGTGATAAAACCTTTAATATATATTTTTATCAATATCCCTGTAATTAGATAAAAAAATTAGCTTAAATTGAATTGTATAACACGCCTGAATCTTTAATAATCGTTTAATTATAAGTTTCGCCAGTTTATATCGCCTTAATTATATTTTAAATCACATTTTAAAAATAACACGATGTTTCTTTGTATGAAGATAAAAAAAAGCTCTCGAGATATTATTCAAATATCTTATTACCGTTACAAGGTTAGTTTGGTAAAGAGGATATGATCAGTTTTAGTTGAAGTTATTCAACTCTATAAACTCATTTTAGCTTTAAATCTAGCCTTGAATGCCATTTAATAATATTCAAATCAAAACCTCCCTCACTAGCTTCCTACATTACAATTGGAATTCCTTCTTTGATCATTGAATATTAAATAAACATTATTTCCATTCCGAAACCAAAAACCTTTATTGTGGATACTGAAACCTCAAACAATCACAAGCTGGAATATCTCCAAATGTTCTTCGCTTCACCACACACATAATTATGTGAATAATTTATGCTTTCATTATACGAAGCTTACTCAGATAAAAAAAAATATCCATGCTTATGTAAAGTGTGTATGCAATCACACAACAGTAGCACAAACAAACAAAAAAATATATGAAGTGAATGAGGAGATAAGCAGTCATTCTGCTGAAGTGTTGATGATGATGATGTTGCAATAAAAAAATGTTTACTGTCTGAATTAATACGCACTTCGCACCTAGGCATAAAATATTTTATATTTATTAACATTGGGAGTTGCTTGGATGTTTCGTGACGCTGTTTATCTTCCTTGACCAAGCAGTTCAATTATGGTCAATGACTTATATTAGCTTGACATATAAAGTTGATCAGTGATTAACTGAACCTCAATCCTTAGTGTCACATAAGGTCCAAACAATTCCCATTATTAAAAATATGTTTTAACAAATTTCTTCAATTTTTATTTTCCAGCGCTTCCACAACACAATCCAAAAATAGAAGGAATCGAGCGGAATTACTATGAAGGTGACTTTCTGTTCGGAAACTGCACGTCAGACTTCTCATATCCACCTCCAATAATGAGTTGGTATATCAACGATCAAAAAGCTGATTCAAATCTTCTGCAACCTTTTCAAGAGTCAACTGTCGATGCTTATGGCTTCAAATTATATCAACGTAGTTTAGAAATCCGTTTTCGTATAGATAAAAGAATCAATCCGTTCATCACCGATGGCAAAGTCCATATGAGATGTGTTGCACAAATTCGACAAATGCCGTCGCAAATTCGTGAATCTGAACACATTTTCTATGTCTCATCGTGGGATGAATTGCGCAATCAAAAGTTAATTAATTGGAAGAGTTCAGGTGAGATTAAGCGTTCAAAACTTTTTATCTTTCCACTTTTTATCAGCCGAGGAAACAAAGAATTTGACTTTTATGTAAATTAGATTGTTATTGCCACAAAAAAAGTTTAGAAATACATTTTAAAATGGAAATGACAAAGTTACGCACTAATTTTTTGAGTTAATTTGAGGTGATCAAGTGAATAAAATGATGCTGGGAATTAAGATAAGAACTTTCGATGGTAAAATATAATTTGAGGGTTAGGGGCATTATTGGTTAAGATTTGAAATTGAAATTGGAACTTTTTGGGGTCGTGAGTAAATAACGACTTACTTTTAACATTTAAAATCATTTATTAATCACAATTAAGTCAACACTCTAGCTTAAACCATGTAGAATCTGCTTTTCAGTTCCTGTTTCTTGTCCAGGAACGGTTTTTGTTTCAAAGTATAGTCTGAACCAAATAACATCTGTGGCTCTACTTTTGTATGATGACAATTTTCATAATTTAACTACAATCAGCATTAAAGCTAGCTTGCTGAAACTAATATCCGCTCATATTACATGCTAACAGCAAGGCAACAATGTCTCAATAAGAAATAAATTTCAATCTCACAACAGTTCAAATAGTTCAGCTTTAAAGCACATCTAAATAAATTTCACATTTCACTTACAACCATAATTAATTGCTTGTACACTTCATATGCGACTACATGGTGAACACAAAGTCAGTCACATTATATTATATGGTGATTGTTGTTAGATAAAAGTCAAAGGACATGAAGTGTCAGATTCCATAATGAATTACATGCACAGTCATCGTAAATTCCTCTTCAACGAACTTCACTCACTTCTCGGTGTGCCTTGATATCTTTAACATTGATTATAATATACATGCATGTATGGTATGTACATTATATTATATTCTATAGCTAAGGTTGTTTGCGGTTCATTAACAACACGAGTATGTGTTATGATAATAAACATGATGAGTATGTAGAAGAAGTTTTCTTTTTTTTTTGCTATCAATCATTATGAATTTTTGGCTGCTGCTGATGCTGACGATGATGAAAGCTTTTCACAATTTTTTTTTTACTTGCTTATAATATTGGAAAAAATAGGAAAAAGTTTTATTTTTTCGAGATTTATGTATGAAAATGGCATGTTCGAAACTTTCCAAGTCTCATCTTATCGTGTAAGAAATGAATTAGCTGTTTCTGCCACATAATTTAGCTCATATGTGAGCAAAGTCATGATAACAAAACTTCTTCCCCATCTCCTTATGTATTCATTCTTTGTTAGAATTTATTGTACATTAGACGAAGTTTTACGTTCACTTCTTGAAGTTTTATTTAATAGGATTTATGGAATGAATGAAAAAGTTTATATGAAATGTTTCTAAGTAAATGTTTACAGACATAAGATTTAATTGAGTCAATATTATTTTGTGATCTGATGAATCAGGACAAAGTGTTTCAAATCCAATAGCTCCATAAACATCTTAATGCCAGTTTCAATTTTAGACTGATTCATACAAAGTCACAAGCACAGTGTAGTATGAATAGGTTAGATTCGTCATCTGTAAATTACAAAAATCATTCATCAATGTCTGATACGAACAATTCATGCTCGACAGACTTATTGGGGGTCTAGGTGTTTTACAATACGCGCATTCAAAAATTCAAATTTCAAAAAACCGTTACAAGTTTTAGTGGTTTTCGTTTTAGTTTTTTGCTCATTATATGAAAGTTTTAGTCAAAATTTTTTTAGATACATTATGTTCATTAGTACCTGATTACACAATATTATCACCAAAGTTTCATGTTAAAATAGTAAAACTTAAGTTATTACATTTTTCGAATTTTCTAAATCAGGGTGTGAAATTTCGAATTTGTTACGTCAGACAGTCAAATAAGAGATTTTTCAAAAAATTTCTTAGAAACTGTAACGGTCAAAATCCTTGAATTGTTCGAATCAGATAAATGTCTTTTATAATTGACATAAATAAATTCTCACCCATTTGAAAGTTTCTAAATTAGCGTCAAAAAGTTTGAGTGCCGTTATCGTTTGTTCTTTCAAAGCCCGAGCTATGACAAACTGAATTAGTTTCACATATGTCTGGTTTCCATTGTACCAATTACTGTTGTATGCATCTTCTGCAACCTTGAGTGATGCGCTGATTTTTGAATTTTTTTCAAAAAAATAATTAAAATTAATTTGGAACATTTTTAAAATTCTTACTCGATTAAGCGGTCTCCATAAAAGCTTGCATTGTATGCATTCCATGATGCAGCGATAAATATGAATGAATATTTGATGAGAAATAACCAACCAAATCCAGCCTGAAAATTTGATTTTTTTTAAATTTTTAATTTTTAATCAGTTTCAGGATGTTAACACAAAATCTTCATCAAATTACTTACAAATGCTAGAAATGCAAATGTAACCATCGAAGAGAGAATGCCAAAAATATCAATAAATAGAATTAAAGAGTAAACTTGCTCCAAATCTGCAGTAACTTCCAATAAATCTTCATGAATTTTCGCAAATTCTTTTAACATTTCAATTGCACCTTCCTGATTGCCATTTGGATCAATTTCACTAATTTTGTGTCCCAAAGAGTTGAGTTCTAATGCTGTTAAAGCTACAAGCTCAGCAAACAGTAAATCAGTTAAGAGGAGGATAAACAGACCAAAATAAATCATTATTATTGATGCAAGATTTAATGTAGTACAGCTGAATATTTGATTTTGATCAAATGGCATATAAAGCTGCAGGATCTGATAACAAATTAACTTATCAGATGAAGCAAAGCTCAAAAGTTGAGCAATCAACGGTGTAAGATTGTATGTTAAAAATGCTAAGGCATAAATGATTATTCCAAATATTTCATGATATTTTAGGATTTTCAAATGCTTCTGTACTTCATACTTTTCTTGATTGTAGCTTTGATGCGGATAGTAAGTGTCGAGCGTAGCTGTTATTTTTTTGATCTTTTCGTGATGATAATAACTAGTCAAATAGAGTTTTGACAGAATCACAAAAGTCCCGCCAAAGCCACAAACGTTTTCAACAAGAACCAAAGGTGAACCATCGCTTGTTAAACCAACAATCAAGCTAATCAATTCCAGAATGATTAACATTATTAAACTGCATATTGAGATACAGTAAAGCACCTTCTTCCATTTTGTCTTTTTCTCCAGCTGTTGTGTTGACAAATTGCTCAATCCAAAATGATTAGAAAACCTTTCAGAAATGAAAAAATCTTCAAATTCAATAAGTCTTGTCTTGAACTTTTCAACACGATTTCTTGGTCGGAAACATTTCTTGAATTTTCTTAAGACATTCATTTTTATTTCACTTGACTTGGTTGGTCACAAAATGCTTGTAGTTCACTTGGTGGTAAAAGTATAACTGAATGAAATACTTTACATCAGAATGAAGTCAGAACTTTCAGAACAATTGCAATAAAAACCGAGAAGAATAGGGATTATATGCTGGGAAGATTGTGTTTGACTCAGTTTCAATTTAATGAATTTAAGGTTTGAAAAAAGAGACTTAAAAATCACAAATTATTAAGATTCATATCTGGTCGTTTGTTAAAGAATTATTAATTCACAAATTCATAATAAACAATTGAATTCTATTCAAAATTTAATAAATTGATTCCCTATTCCTGATTTCATAATGTTTGTTTTTTTTTCATAAATGCATCGTTAATTTTCCCATGTCACTGCAATGTTGATATTGCCAACTGCAGCTAGTTCAATTCTTAAAATTTTTAAATTACCCAAACCAATTATAAACACGATTGTTAAATATTTTATGTTTTAATGACTTAATATCATCGTCTTTTATTTGAATCATGAACATATCACTATCGATAGAATTGTCTTGAGTTGACATGCATTCATTATTTAAGGGTATTTAATAAGGTTCTCAAAGAAAAGTGTAGCTTTAAAAGTTCAAACAAACCTTCGACTTTTTCATGTTTTATCCTCTTTGTGTTTCACTAATCCCTTGTAGTAAATAATATAAATGACTGTATTTATAGCATGGAGAAGTTTATGGATTCATGATACTCCCGGAATTTTGAGCCGATTAAAGAATAAAGCTTTTGGGATCGTTCACTTATGACGTCCAAAATTAACGGTCATTTTTTAAAAAAGAATAATCGATTTCGAGGAATTTGGATTGTTCTTTTCTTGCTGACCCGCCCACCCCCTCCCCAACTTTACGTAATTAATGAACGACCCCTTTGCAGAATTAATATTTTTTTCTCGTTTTATCCTTTTGTAAACATTTATTTAATAACACAGAATTTAAACTTTTTCAAGCAGAAACATTTTTGCTGATTCTCTTTATGTGTCGGCAAATTTTGTTTATGTTTGTTCTTGCAATTTTAACTTCTACACGTGTGCTTATGATATAAGGAGAATTTGTTTTATGAATATTTAAGGTGGGTGGGGGAAGGTTGTGAGGCTTTAGTTCTTTAGGATTCTTCGAAAATGTAGCATCAAGATATTGAATTTTAAAAAGGAGGCTCTAGACTAGTGATTTTCAAACTATGTCTCGCAAAAAACTTCGGAAAATGTCACTTATTGGTTGCTGTGTGCGGTTTTGATCATGACTTACCATCAAGATGTGTCGCCGACCAGAGAATTTTGGAGCCCACTCGTCTAGACCTTCCACAAACCTAAATAACCTGTATAGAATTGTAAAAATCAACTCTTTATGCTCGATGACATTCCTTAATATTGACAATTATTGAGAAAAGAGACCCTACAACTAAATATTGAATGATTTCCATTGTTAACAATCTTGGCAATCCAAAGCTTCATAAAAGTGGAAAGAAATGAAGCCACAAAACAAATATTTTTCAATACAAAAGTCACAAGAAAAAATATCAATTCTTAATTTTTTTCCTTGCAGCACACAATTTGAAGATTACAACAGCTAAAAGCATACTGATGTACATTCTTCTTCCAATCTGTTATTTCATAGCTGGCAGCAAAATGCTTCTTCAAACAATCAAAAGCTGATAAGCAAATATTGTAAGTAAATTATAGAAATGGATATCCAAATAAATTATAATGTATTATTGATAAGGTAAAAATGTTATGAATATAATTAAAAATTATTATTATTATTATTATTATTATGAATGAAAATGTTCTTTTAAAGAATAAGCAAAAAAACCTTGTAAATTAAAAGCTAATTATTGCGATTCTATGCATGTATAAAATTTTCAAAAAACAAGCCCTAATCTTTTGCACATAAAAATGATATTAAGATAAAGAAAAAAATTAAATTGTTAATTATTTTATAGACACGAAAAAGGGAAATTATTATAAGACATAAAAAATATACTTTTTAAAAGCAATTTTATTCAAATTTTTTATAAATTGAATATTAAAGTTTTCTAATTGTTCTGAAACTTGTTTCTTTGTTGTGTTTTTGTTGAAATTGTGTTAAAATGATTGAAAGGTTTTGTCTTGTTTGATTTATTTTGATGGAAGTTTTTAAGTCTCATTTTGATGATTTTAAATTTAAAAAATTTGAATTTTTTGAAACATTAGAATTTTAATTTAAATATATTCTAAATTCAAAGAAAATTAATCTTTTGTAAAAAATTGAGATTTTAAATTTTTTTTAAATTTTTACAAAAATTGATTTTTTTAAAAATTCTTACGAAAATTGCATTTTGTAAATTCTTATTTTAAAAAATCAATTTTAAAAAAAATTAATTTAAAAATAAATTAAATTTCAAAAATTACTAATTTCAAAAAAAAAAATAAAATAAAAAAAATCAAATTCAAAACAAATTAAATTCAAAAAAATTAAATTCAAAAGAAAATAAATTTTTGAATTAAAATCAACAACAAAAAAAAGCTTCGAAAATGTAATTTTTCATGAACCCCATCCAGTGTTGAAATCTGCCTATACTTCTGCAAAAAGACACTTTCTATATGAAGAATTTATCTTCTGCAGATTTCTGTCTGCATGTAGATTAAAAAAAGTATCTACATGAAGAATCTATCTTCCAAAGAATTCTGTCTTCCACAGATTTCTGTCTGCATGTAGATCAAAAAAAGTGTCTACATGCAGATTCTGTCTTCCAAAGATTTCTGTCTTCCACAGGGTTTGTCTGCATGCAGATTATTATATTTTGATATTTAATAAATATTTTTAAATCAAAAACACATAGAAAGATTTAGGATACAAAATAAAACAACGAAATTAATTTTGCAAATTAATGTGGATTCTTCTTCACTTCCTCTGACAAGTCTCTTTTATAAAAAAATGATCAAACATTCGGGCTTTTAAAATTAATAAAAAGGGTTTTTTCATTTAGATTTTCTCGTTGTCAGAAAAATGCTTAATAATAGCATAAATACACTGAGTTACGCTTTTTATTAAGTATTCGATACGCCAATAAAACGATAGAACTGAGAAAACGTAGAAGGCTACGATGTCTGGTTGCTTCTATCTCAATCAATAAGCTACCTTTTTGAAATAAGTTTCAAAAATGCACTAAAAATGGATATTTTCAGTAACATACACACAATTTATCCACATTCACAAAATCACCATTCGCCACATTTGTCATCAGATTCATGAAAAGAAAAAAATATTGTGAATTAGTGTTTTATATTTGATTAAAATTAAGCTTCTCTGTCAGTCCAATTCGTACATTTTTACGAACTCTGTAAACCGTTACCTACAAATTGTAAGAAAATATTTGCATTTCGAGGTAATCGGGAAAATTTGAAAATGATTTGACCGTTAAAAGTACTTATTATTGTTAATTTATTGTAAAACCACACTTTTTCATTAAAATATAATAATCTGCATGCAGACAAACCCTGTGGAAGACAGAAATCTTTGGAAGACAGAATCTGCATGTAGACACTTTTTTTTAATCTACATGCAGACAGAACCCTGTGGAAGACAGAATTCTTTGGAAGACAGATTCTGCATGTAGACACTTTTTTTGATCTACATGCAGACAGAAATCTGTGGAAGACAGAATTCTTTGGAAGACAGATTCTGCATGTAGACACTTTTTTTAATCTACATGCAGACAGAAATCTGTAGAAGATAAATTCTTCATAAAGATAAAATCTTTTAAAGATTCTGTAGTATTTATCTATGGAAGACGTCTGTCATTTCAACACTGACCCCATCAAATAAGTCAAACAAGGAAAACAAAAATAGTTTCAAAATTCAGTTCCATATTTTAAATCCTCCAGAATCCTCATGCAACACACTTTCAAACGTATCTAAATGTTTTAAATGATAATTCACAAGACAAAACTTTAAACGATTTTAAATTCCACAAAAGGTGTTGACACGTCTGAAAAGGAAATGAACAAAATTAAAAATAATGTCTTTATTTTCTCAAAAAGCTGGAATTGAATGTAATTTTAAGGCTCTTTAAGTTGATCAAAAAACAGTCCACCCATCTCGAAAAAATAATAAAAATGAAGAAAATGAATTTTTCACGAAGGGGGCGAAACGGAAAGTAACAGACAAATAAAGAATAAATGAATAAATGGGTCCTCTTTGCCTGTTCATCGAATTTCAAATGAAATGAAGAGACGCTGAGTGAGTGAGAAAGAATCTTGAGAAGGCACTCATTCGTACCAAAAATGAAAAATAAAACGACATTTTTTCTCGTTATTTATTTTTTAATACCTTTCCATTACCGTTTCGTCATCTCAAGTTCTTATAATTTTTTCAAGCTTATATTTTTTTTGAGAGATAAATATACACTGAAATACATAAAGATTGAGAATGGATGAGAAAAAAAATTTAATAAAAATCGCAACTTTTCCATCAACATCATGGCAAAAGTGAGAAGAAAATGAGTAAAGAACAAGAATGAGGAGAAATGAAAATGAAATTAAATTGTTTTGTGATATAGAAGTAGAAAATGTTATCGTGAGTAAAATGAAATGAAAGAGAAAAAATCTTTTAAGGGATGAGATTGTGGTTGTTTTGGATTTGGGACGTTAGCGCATTTATTTGACTTTTAAAAATAATATGATTTTAAAAAATCAAGATTAGAATTTAGGAGGAAAAGTTGGGGATTTGGCGATTTGGGAGTCAAATTTTGGTATTGCAGTAACACATCGCTTGACTGAAACCCTCTCACATTATTATTAAGATTATTTCTATGGTCTCTTCAACAAAGCAAGGTAAACTTAGATAGGATTTCCACACTTCTGAAGACACTGACCATCGATTTCCAGCCGAAGTTCATGGTGTCTGAACAGAGTGAAATCAGTGGTATTGAGACATATGAAAGTGATTCTGCCAGTGCAAGACTAAGGCGTCTATAGAGTAGACGTTTAACAGCATCTGTAATCCTCTTTTGTGAGAACACTGGTTCGATTCCTACACTGTTTTGATTACCATACTTGGTTCGATTCCCACAGAACGATCTTTAAATACATTAAAATGCTCACATCGATCGTTACAGGTACCTTAATCATTCTGTTCCATGGCTACTAGAGTTAGTATGGATATTATCAATATGTCATTTGTATAGTCAGTGTGAGAAGGATATCCTAAAAGGTTCGAAGCAATGTTTGTGACTATGACCTTGCCTTCAACATAAATGACTCAAGATTACAAACAATTTCATTCATTCAATCAACAGCGATATGGTCAATGAATCCTTTAGATTCCTAGAAAATTGATGCTAGAGGAATAAAATGCAACAAATAAATGTTTACATCAATCTTAACCCAGACAAAACAGCAACTAAATCCCACATTTTCGCTAGAAAAAAGCTCTCGAAAAAAATTCTTATATTGTGAAGAAGGAGGTCAAGTCAAAATGAAGAGGAATGAAGGAAGAAGAATAAGAAGTTATCAAAACAACAGAACAGAAATTCCATTTCTCATTCGCTAGAAAGATTTTTATTTCTTCATTTGATTTCGATTTCAAGATAAAATCTTTATTGTTATTGCAATCTTATTCATCCAAAGAAAGAATGAAGGAACATTTCGAGTAAGTCTGTATTTTGTATAGAGCTAAGAAAATAAAGTTTCATTTTTTATGAATCATGTTGAACAGTTTTGTGAGCAGACGAGGCAAAATAAAATCATTTCGAGTGAGCTTTTTCACGAAAAACAAAGAGCATGATATGAAAAGTTATTGGAATATCATTTAGAAAGATTAACAAAAGCGCTTTTTTACCTGTTTATAATCAAATAAAAAAAGTTTTTATTGAGAAAAATTATTTCCTGTTTTTTTTTTTTATGAATGAAATGAGAAAGTAAGGAACGATAAAGTTTTTTTTCATGCTGTAGATTTGACTTTTGTTGTGAATGAAAAAAAAAATAGAAAAAGAAATTTTAGTTTGAAAAATTGTTTTTGAAATTTGTGGCCTTGAATTAATTAAAAAAGTTTTAATGATTAAAGAAATTAAGTGGAAAAATAAATTTTGTGAGGAATTTAGGCTGTGAAAATTTTGAAACTTTGTAAGATTTTTAATTTATGGATTGAATAGAGGTTTGGATAAGGTATCTGTGGTAGTTATAGCTTGTCATCCAATCACTCGTTGTAGATTCACATCCTGCAATAGTTTGTAATTGAAGATCATTCGATGTTTGTTTTAAACAAAGGCGATATCATAAAAATTTGAATTTAACTCAATACGTATGCTTTAATGCAGTGTTGTCCAAACTTTTTTGAGCATGCGACTGGCGTCATTTACAAAAAATTTTTACGACACACCAGTGTGCCGCGGCAAACAGTTTGGACAACACTGCTTTAATGAATACTCTGAGTGTTACTCAGTCTAGTGTAAGTACTTAGTGTAGATACCAGTCTAGTGTAAGCCATACCCTTTAATTGACTTCAAGATAAGCACAATCCAATTCCTGAAAGGTCTCTTAAAGTGCCAAAGATGCGTAGTAAGTAATCAAAAGTTTCAATTTGATTAGATAGAAGTTTAATATAACAGTGACTTTAGAATATAATGAGCAGTTCTATCCTAGTTTATGCCTTAAGTCCCTAGTAATCATAATCGTCCATATGTATAGCATTGATGTTCATAAGGAAGGTCAAAGTAGGACATATAGACGATTTTGGTTACTAGGGCTTATACTCTTGTTTCTAAACATTTGTCATACTTGAAAGCTTTAACAAAAAACTTGATTCAGACTGAACATCTCAGTTTTCAAAATCCGAATACATCCAAGGATTTAACAAGCTTCCAATCTTTAAACAGCATCAATATACTAAATTGCAGAATTTCAATTAAAGTTTTCCAAAAACATCTTTAATCCCAACACAGCTTCTTTAAAGCTGAAACTATACGATTTATAAAACTCCGAAGTTTCCTTCTCAAATGTGCATCTGCCTCACATCACGTATTACATTCGACTACAGTAAAAAATAATAATACAGCTGTCCTACCAACACAAATACATAATCTGTACATAAAGATTATAAATTCCTCCACCCGACTTCCGCATTCAGCCCATTAATCCATAAATCAAATTGATACGCTCGATTAATTTTCACAGTTTATGTTCCCTTACACACGAAGCAATGAAAGCTTTTTTAAAAAATTATATTAAAGTTCATATTAAAACAATAATTTCATAAATCTGAATCCATAAACCATTTTTTTATGTACTCATGACTAATAATTTTTTTTTTCAAAATGATATATTTGTTAACAATTTATGATGATATAAAATAATAATTTAATAATCTATACAGTTTGCTAATGGAAACCTCATCTATAATGGTTATAAAATTCAATGCGCCAAATAATCACAGAGAAAAAATTGTTTTTTAACACACATCGATGAAAAATCATAAAATTTATTTTAATTTATATCCTTTTTGGGGGTTGTTCACTTATGACGTCTGTTAAAAATTAATATAATTTTTAAAAATTCATATCTTGTTAAGGGTGCCATGTAGCTCTAGATTAGCTTCTCTAAAGGAGTTTACAGTCAAAATTAATTCAAAATCGTCAATTTCTAGCTTGCAACTCCTTCTGAACGTCAAAAGTGTCCGACAGCCCTCATCAAAATCATTTATTTACCTTCAAGCATAATTTTCATGGCTATATGTGTGTGTTTTGATTTGAAATCTCATTTTGTGAAGCAACAACTATAAAACATACTCGACATAATTAGTTTTCATTCGAAAATTGTTATTAAAAAATTGTTTTTTTTTGTGTCTTTGTTGATTTTTATATCGAAAAACATATCGCTCCAAAATCAATTTCAATCAATTTTTTTATATGTTGTTTATTGATGACATAAACATCATTCAATTTGTTTGTTTGTTTGTCATCATCAAAGTTATCAATTTCACTAAATTATTTTTTTTTGTGTGTGTGTACATCTGTGTTCATATATTTGACCGAGGGAGGGATGACAAAATTTTGTTTGATTAAAAAAAATGCTTTTAGATTTCTGAACTATTCGATTGAACTGTATTAGGACACTAGATGGATCAGATTGTTCTTTTTACAGTAGGATGAATGACATTTTTTTGAATAAAGTTGGAATAGCAACTATATCAATAATAGGGTCATCCTAGTTTGGTTAACGTTGTTTGATGTTTATTCTGGGCAGTGATGGTTAACCCATGTGCCGCGATACTATTTTGACAAAAACCATGAGCCGTGTAACATGTGCGGTTTCAGTTTCATCCCTAAAGGTGTTTCGTGGCACAAAAAAGGTTGACCACCACTGTTATAGAGTTTATCGATGGAACTAGGCTATTAAAAGTTGATAAGGGTTATCAAAGCAATCACAGAGTACGATACGCGATACTGCATACAGAATCAAAGCTGAGAATCCTATTAACATGAACATATATGTACACAAAACCATAACTGCAGTATTAATGTCAATCATCTTAATTTTCACAAAAAGAAAACTCATTAAATTACAATGCAGTATTATTTACAACTCTAATATCATTGCATCATATTCTGCCTTTCATCTGAGTTTCGTACTTGTAACTAGTGAAATGAAAAATGAGAAAAACATTTTTCATAATGGAAAAAATAAATCTGTACAGATGATATATATAATAATAAAGACGGAAAGAGCAAAACATTCAATTTAATAAACTACTGTGTAATAACTATTAAAAAATAAAGGCAAGAAGAATGATTGAAAAAAATATAAAAATTGAAAATGGAAAAGAGAGAAAATTTTTGAAAGCAAAAAAAAATTCAATTTTCCACTCAGTTAAGTGTAATAAGATGCGAATAAAAATAAAGAGGAAAATATTTCGAAAATAAAATTTTGAATTTTTAATAAAATTTTTATTTGAGATTTTCAGATTTAAATATTTTATTTTAGAGAGGAATTTTTTGCGGACGTATGGTAAGTAGATGTTGGTGAAAATTTTGAGATGTTGCTTTTTATACCCATTATTCGTAATTATAAAGTAGCTACTATAACCCCCAACATTCCCCCTGATCTATCCTGATTTTCTATCTATTAAGTTAAACTGCAAATCAATGTAAATTCTTATACCCGAGTAGCACAAGTCGGTTCATCAAGTCTGTGTGACTCTTTAATGTGAGAGGGTTCCAGCTAGGCGGTGTGTTACTACACAAGAAACTGTGATCCTGATCGATGATAGAACGTGTGACTATTACATGAAGCCGGATTTTAATCGAAGGCTTCACCATGACAGAGTCATGCCAGCTTGGTGACGGATTTCTATTCAATTTACCGACTTGTGCTATTTAGGTTAGGTTCAGTCAAATTATGTCCTTCTATCTTGTGCTATACTAGTCTTGTCCAAACTGTGTGCTGTAGATTTTTTTGGAAATGACATGAGCCGGATGCTGGGTGCAACTTTAGTCGTGGCTTAGCGATCTAATAGTTTGGACAACACTTGGCTAGACAGTGATAAAAGACTTTGTCGTTTCCTCGAACTGTCTTGAAAAATTCAACGTCTTCAGACAAAAAGTAAAAAATAATGAACAAAAATGAATGTGTGGGAGGGAGTCGGGAAGGAGTTTACACTGCAATCTAAAAGTCCTGATTCATCGCTCCAAATACATTCGGACACTTGTCCTTAGCAATTCTATTAAATAAATTATCCTCTTCAACCTCAATCTTCCTACGTTTCGACAAATTATTCCACAAGTGAAGAGTCATCGAGTCATTTATAAGGCTCATCATCTTATCCACATGATTTTCATTGAAAATCCCTTTCCATCTTGACCATGGAATTGGATAGCAAATTTTTCGTGGAAGGACATAAAATCCATCACAATTTTCCATTTCAACCATTTCACTTATCGATTCAGTTTTGCAGATTTCGCTGAGAACTTTGGTTATGACAATTGGACCATTGGTTCCCCATTCGTCTGCATCGTAATTTTCAGTCATGTACTTTATAAACATTTCCGCTAAAGTCCTTCCTTTATGTGTATCTAATCTCATAATTCCATTTGCTACAATCACACCTTCGCCATCATCACATGCAAAATTTTGTGGTGTATTTTCAGCGGTTTTTAAGGAAATCACATCTGTGTCATAATAAATGCCTCCGTACTTCCATAAAATTAATAAGCGATAAGCATCGGACATGTGAGCAATGACATATTGTGATTTTGTAATTTCATGATTATTGATGAAGAAACTGCCTAATGGACTTCCAATTGGGAAACTATTGTGATTTATGAACACAAACTTTAAATTTGGATATTGAATTAAAGCTGACAGTTCTGGTGTTAATTGCAATTTTGGTCTCTTTTCACGTGTGATGTAGACAGCATAAATGTTTAGATGAGGATTTAAAATGGCTAAAATTGAGAATTTATTGTAATTTTTGATTCCGAGGTAAAATGATAAAAATATTAACCTGCAGACTCAATAGCACAAGCTGGTCGCTTCCCAATTTTCAAAGCTCTCGCCTGCTTATACTTAAGTTGCATCCGAAAAGTGTCAATGAAAAATAAATTTTTATCATTTTTAGGTTCCACAGACTCATCCGTAATGTCTGTTAAAATTAGTAAATTATTTTTTATATTTCTGACTACAATCACTGATTCTTTGCTGTTTGAGAAGTAAAATGTCACAACAATTGAGTATGCAAGTGCAACAAGGAAACAAACTAGTAATATTTGCAAGCGAGTTTTGTATAGTTTTAGGAAAATTTCAAACATTTTCAATTTACTAGCTATGATAAAATATGTTGTTGATTTTCAAGTCATCATTTGGATACTAATGAGTTTAAAATGTGTATGGACGTGTGTTTGCTATTGAATTTACATATGTTTATGGATTATTGAATGTATATGTTCTGTATTTTTAGATAATAAATTGTTCGATAAAATTCTTTTAAGCTCTAAATATTGACAAAATTTCTCCTTGAAATTAAAAAAAAACAGCTGTTAATTGAACAATTTTAACTTTCGTGCGTATAATTTTCATTGGTATTGCATTTTTTAGGAATCTAAAGGCAATTGCAAGTGTCGTTCAAGGATAAATAATAAACAAAAACCGTGTTTTTAAAAAGCTTAAGATAATTTGGGACTTCCTTGTGAATTATGACCTTTATGAATTCAAAATCACTGATTTTAATTCATCAAAACATTAACGCATAATATCGAAGGTGGTGGAACTGATCAAATGATCAAAAATGAACAAAACTGAACAAAAATAAACAAAAATGAACAAAAACTGATCAAAAAATGAACAAAAAATGAACAAAAATGAACAAAAATGATCAAAATTTAATTTATCAGTTTCGCACCCTTGATAATATCCAAACTATCCACAATCACCAACTTTTTATTATTCTAATAATCATAAAGACCAATCTGTGGGAACAAAATCCATAAAAGCTACTTTATTGCAGCCAAAAAAACACTTACCAAACTACCAATAAAATTTAAAAACTAAAATTATTTGAATATCAAACAAATTTAACCACCAAAAATTTTATTTTCATTCACTCACTCCACATAGCTTCCTCATTTTGGCAATCGCAGAAACTGAATTTTCTATCATGAAAAAAAAAAATTAAAGCTCAACGCTCCTTAACTCATAAAAGGTCAGTGTAAACGAATAAATTCAATCTGATATTAAATAAATGTGTGGGGAGCAAAATGATAAATTTCATTTTTACGACTCAATTTCATATTTTTAAAATATGAAAAAAAATCAGAATTTATGAATGTGAATTTATGAAAAAATAAGGCAGACATGGAAAAAATGTCACAAACCTATAAAATATGGCATTATCTGCAGATGATTTTAATGCAAAAAAAATAATATTAAAAATGATGTTTTTCACTTTCGTATTGGGTCAATTTATTTTGTAGGATGTTTTTTTTAGCTTCTCTCTTGTGCTGCTTCTTCCGCTAATGTACATATTGAACTTTATTGCATGGAATTTGGAACTGCATTTTCTGTACTTCCTTTATAATAAATTCATCCCTTGATTAATGGATTATGAATTATTATGATAATTGTAATCTTTATTGCCAATATTTTTATATGTACTTATTAAGTAGATGTAGAAGTGTGGATATGGATCAAAGAGCATAGGCCTGAGCATAGGGCTCGCGTTGAACTGGTTATATGTGTATAATGGATAGCCGAAGTAAGATAAGTATCTCGGTGGCCGAGTGGCAATGATCTGTTATCGAGTGGTCAGATATCGCCTCTTTTGAGATCGTAGGTTCGATTCCCATCAAACCTGACTTGTTTTACATTAGTATACACATATGACAGTTATTGGGAGATCTACAAGAAGGAGGTTGGGTTAGGATTTTAACTCATTCGGTGAGTTCGAACTGGGTCGTTGCTGCTCCCATCTTTTAATGTCTAAGAGTACCACAAGTAATTCCTCTAATAATCCAAATCAACTTCAATGTTTAGAACGATTATGTAAAATTTACATCAACTATTCAGCCAATTCCAATTACCATTAGTGCCAAACGATTGTCACATTAAAGTAAACGACAAAATGATTATTACATTTTACAAATAATTTATTTTTCAAAAAATCTAGAGCATCATTTAAGAGCAGCTTCAACTGCGCACAAAGTATCTCCTCGAATGAATTCCCATTATTATATGAGCACGATTAAGATAAGATACTTGAAGCATATTTTTTCATTTCTTTTCCATTTATTAGATTTCGAAAATCTCCAACCTTACTTCTCATTTTCTTTTAGCTTTGTTTCCATTTCAGATGAAAGAAGCATGTAAGTAAGTTGAGAATAGAAGAAAAAAAAATGAAAATAATATGAGTTGAACTCGACAAAAAGCTGAAAATTGTTATTATTGTATGGATGGGGTTCTCAAGCTGTATGTTGAGGTGCTTTATTGTATTGTAGTGGATACTTAGTCAAGAATTTAGTCAAAGAGTCTTATAAGTTGTTTAGATGAATTTAAAGTCAATGATGAAAGAGTAGCACATTGAAGGAACTTGTCAAGGCACGCATAGAACATCTCTTTATGCATAAAACCTTTTGTCATAACCATGGCGATATGACTATACCTTTAAGGTCGGTTTCTTGAGTTGACCTTTACTATATTACAATATATGACCAAGGGATATAGCCCGATTCTTTGAAATGCTTGCCACCAGTCGGCCGGGTTGATAGTATAATTAGAACCAAGCGGTAGCCAATTGACAATGGCACTTGTGTGCTGATCTGGCAGTCTAAGATTAGAATTTACAGGTTATGTATATGACTAGACATGACACCTATAGCTGGAACTTACGTTGCTCCACTCAGGATCCAGTGTGCATCGGCTTTTGTAGTAACATATGCCGTACCAGAACATTTAGAGTAAAAATGCCAAAAAATCTCTGAATGCCCTGAACAAACAAGTATTCGAAGCACTGCCACATAGAAACGAATATAAAAATAAAAAGATAGTTTTTGTGTTCTACGTGATTTCGGTAAATACGAGCTGATGGGAATGGATTAAGTGAGGAGCTTTAGAAATTTCATAAGGATACAAAAAATAAAATTAGAAGGAAGAAGGGAGGAATAGAATAAAAAATTTCTTGCTCTTTTGCAGTTCAGCATTTATAAATTATGCACATAAAAGGAGCATTATTATAGTGTGGTTTGAAAAACGTCCATAAGGCAAGGCCTGTATTATAGAGAAATAAAAGTATAGAATGAGATTTTATAATCATGATGTAATATTCAGTAGGATTTATAATCCTAACAAGTTTACCATTTCCTTGAATTTTATTTCATCTTTCATTATTCATATTTTGTTGCTACTTTTCATCAAATCTGTCATTTTGTTCGTCCATAAAACACAAAAATCTTGAATAAAATATTTTGTCTCATCTATCGTAGCATCATAAACTTAATAATTCCTAAAATAGAGTCAAGATGGGCGAAAAAGGACATAAAATAAAAAATTTTAGTGTTGAAATGTTTTTAAATTATTCATAGAAAATGGGACCCTTTTTGGATTTCAAATGATTGCACATCTTTATTGCGTTTTGTCAGGATTGTACAGGGCCCAGGCGGGTGAAGATCATCTGGCAGACGGAATTCCTAGGAACTTTTCTTAGGAATTCCTAGAAAGTTTTCTGCGATTTCCTAAAAAAATTCCTTAGACTTCCTATCATTATGGCCCAAACTTCCTTAGTTTTTAGAAGTAATTCCTAGTAAATCTTTGAATTCCTAATTTTTTTAGAAATTCCTAGGAGATATATTTTTTTGGAATAATTGCGATTCGCAAAAATATTTTTTGAAAAATTCCTAAGAAAATTAGGAAGTTGTAGAAATTCCTAGAAAATTCCTAGGAACTTATAGTAATTCTTAGAAATTACTATGAATTTTAAGGAATTACTAAAGATCGTAGGAATTTTTAAGAACTTTAAAAGAATTAATTTTCTTCGATTCTTAGGTATTGCTATACATTTTAGAAATTCCTAAGAATCGTAGGAGGTCTTTTATCAAGGTCTGCATGACGAGAAATCCTTCACCATTTATTGGGTGTTAAAAGCCTGGCAGAAAGTAATTCTTTGGAATTCCTGTTACTTTACGTAGGAATTTCAAGGAAAAAGTAGAAAATTCTCCTAGGACTTCCTTTAATTTCCTAGGAATTTCTAGAAAAACGAAATTATTTCCTAGAAATTCCTAGGAAATTTCCTACTTTTTCCTTAACGACGAAAGTATTTTTGAGAAAATTCCTAGGAATTTACTTAGGAAATCCTAGAAATTCTTAGGTAACTTAAGAAATTCTTAAGTAATTTTTACTTCTACGCAGTAAAAACTGTAACACCTTCTCGAAAAACTGTAAAAGCAAATATTTCCAATTGCGATAAAAATACTTCTTCTTAAAAATTTGAAATGCTGCCATGAATGACCTATACTATTCAGCACTAACTTACAGCTATATTAAATCACAGCTGTTAATTGCATATGTGTTAAAACAGCTCGGTAGGAATTGTTTAGTACTTCGATACCTAATTATTGCTGTACACAACGATCATGGGTTAACGTATACAACAGTTATTTTACAATTTATTATTCTTAGGCTTACGTATAAATAAGAATGTATACGTAGGGATTAAATTATAGCTGCAAATTTGACCTTTAGTTTGAATAACAAACAGCTTTAATTAAAGATAATGCGTACTGCTTAGGTACGCTTATCGGTACTTGTTCATTAAACTTTTGCAAATTTGACTATAATATTTCCTTTTACAAAAAGTCTGGAGAAAAATGCCGATCGGAATTAGTTCGGTAAACAAGTCACTATTTTTGCTTCAATTTTAGCCACCACGTTTTAAGTACAGATAAGCGATTTCCTAAACAATACATACCTCAATTTACAGCTGCATGTCATATAGACCCAAAAACTTACACCTGTGTTATGAAGCTGTAAATTAGGACTAAATAGTACAGAATTCTATTAAATCTTAATTTGTTTGGATAGAAACTTTTTGCGATATAGTCAATTGTATTCTGACAAAAACAAATAACATACTCGCTTTTGCTAGAAGATATTTTTAAAAATGATAAAAAAAATCGTTCAGCCATCGGCGTTTTTGGGTTGAATTTTCAAATATTTCTCAAAATTTTTGGGATTTCTTTAGTACAGCCTGAAATATTCTAGGTAATCCTAAGAAATCCTGATAAACCCTAGAAAATATAAGTAATTCTAGTATTTCCTAGGATTTTGGGGAAATGCTCTC